GTAAATCTGCTTGACATTCTTGCAACTTTTCCCATTTTCCCATATCCAAGTAGAGTCATCAGAGAGGAGATAAAAGCTACAGAGGTCTCACTCCGCCCCTTAACCAGGAGCTAAATTGCCAGAATTAAAGGTCCACTGTTGATGAATCAAAAGAATATGATCCAAACATATATTGCAGCTGCAACTGTGTCTTGTTTGCTTGCACCATGCAATTATAACATGAAGGTGTTCTATTATACAATACAATACTATGATCGGAGATTAGTATAAATAAACTAACTTTCCCATTTGGGGATGCAAACTGAAAAAATCCGCCACCTTTTGTTTGATTTGATACCTACCTCATGTACGCCAGAATGTCTTGTCAAATTACCTATTGGGGTTTTCAGTGGTTGTATTTGTTTAGGTAAACAGCTGTTTGTTCATGTAACCTGGACACAATCATCTGTAATGTAGGCTATTGATGGTGAAAAGTAAAATTACCAGAGACACAATTTAAAAACTAATTTAGGTATATTTAGCCATGTATAAGACCAAAGTATAAAGGTTAAAGTGTGAACAGTTATTTCCAACATAGTCCCAGTGGATTAAAGGTATTCTGCATAGCTTCGGACCCCTAGTAATGCTTTAAAGCAAGGTTTTCAAGAGTGGGTCCCTGTTTCATTTGCATCTCCTTAAAAGAGACATGATCTTGTGGATGTGCATGAGGACGCTCAAGGATGTAAACAAAGTCTGTTATAAATAAAAGACCTGTATTCTGTAGCAGCCGGACACAGAAACAGCAGACTGCAGCTGAGTGCCACAGCACAGGCTCATAATTGCTGAGCCCTGTGAGAGAGTGTGTGTGAGAAAGAAGACCATGCAGGGAAGAGTGCCAGGACTAAGAAACAAGTGTTTTGAGACAAATCTAAACTAAAAGCAAAGCGAGCCCAAATCCATGCTGATTCTGAAGTCACAGTAAGATTTTAGTGGAGTGACGTATCCCTAAACTGTATGTGATTATTCCTTTTTACCTTTGGGCTCCTCTGATGTTTGGGTCAACTGAACTGGTGACAGTTTTCTTTCCTGAAGCTGGAGACTGTTCTCTTTAAAATCTTTCGCCTGCCAACCAATAAATAATCTCCTGTTTCACCTCAGATTAGCCCTATATTATAGAAAATGAGTCCATGTTCCCCCTCCCCACTTCAAGAACACAGAACTGCCTAATAGTACTCATCTGTTGAACTTTTCTCCCACCCTGGAGTCACCCTGATACATTCCCCATACACACTCACACAAACCCTTCAGTGACACTGTAACTTCATCTTTGGACCTTTGATTAAATTACACTTATACAACAACTCTGTAGAGTAATGGGACATTGTGACTTTATTTTGTAGTAAAAATGTTTCTTTATTTAATGAAATGATGAAATGTTAATGAATGAACTACAGTGTGTACAGATGTGCTTTTGAGTTATAACTCTGTTTAGGGATTAGATTGATTTCATTTGTCCTAAAGTTTGTTTGTCTGGTGCCTTGTTAACCATACTTTCAGGGCTTGAATTACACTACAGTTCAGAATCTTAGCTCAGTAAAGTATTAGGATAAAAATATACCTGAAGTAGCGAAAG